GGAGGGAAGGGATAGAGTTAGAAACATCGATGAGAGAGAAACATCAATCAGCTGCCTCCTGCACACCCCCCACTGAGGATGCGCCTGCAACCAAGGCACATGCCCTTGGCCAGAATCGAACCTGGGACCCTTCAGTCCGCAGGACCCTTCTATCCACTGAGCCAAACCGGCCAGGGCTGTAGTCAACACTCTTAAGGCTGCTAAGGGAAACCCCTTGGCCTCCGACATCTGATCTTTGCATCTGACAGCTCCTCTGGAAACATGCCCAACTCCTGTTGGCGGCAAACATTAGCCCTCAGAGGCCTTCAGGACGCCTCTCCGGCATCAGTGCTGGGAGGCCCACGGCTCCCAGGACTCCTGAGTCCTGAGTCACCAATAACACACCTGCGACAGGAAGCAGCCACCCAAAGGCCCATGTCAAGAAAAAACTGGCCTAGTGAGGCAGCTAACAAAACAGTAAGCCCTGGTCCTCAGGTTCATGCCGGGTCTGATTGGCCTCTAGGACAGAGGAGAGCAAGACAGCTAGCTGTGCTTCCTCAGTCTGTGCCGGGCTCATCAGGGGAGAACTGCATTCCAGCTCTGAATCTTTCCCTTCTGGAACATTCTGCCACAAACATGGGCATGTCTATCACAGCTACTGGCAAAGCCATAGAATGCTGCCACCCCATCACTTGCACATCACTCACAGGAAGTGAAAGCTCAGGTGGAAGTGACCTACTCAAGGTCACATGTCTAGCAGGGGAGCGCAAGCACCTCAGCGCCATCTGCTGCCCAGGGGAAGCAAGGACAAGTGGAAAGGGGGCCTGCAGAAGCAGGATGGAAGGCCAGGTGGATGCACAGAGCAGGCAAAGAGCAAGCAACCAGAGGCGGAAGGGCGGCGGGGCCGAGGGCAGCAAGGTGGGTGTGGAGAGCCTTGTGCTGCAAAGAAACCTCAGGGGAGGCTGGCAGCACCATGCACTCCAGCCTTCTTGGAACCACCCACATCCACTGGACATCCCTGGACCTGCCCCACGTTACTGGTCTCCTGCACGTGGTGTGTCCCCAGAGTCACTCTCTAGAGCAAAGTGAGTCCCACTGTGGAGCCACCTGCTTACTCCCACCAAGGGAGTGCTGGGACAGGAACCCATGTCACCCCTGGACTCCCATGGTGGGGGCACCGTGTCCTCCATGTGTCTGGCACAGACTTCTGCTTGGCTATGACCATCCATATCCCTGAAGCATCCGCACCACAACATGAAGATGCAGCCAGGGGATGGGTTGGAGGAGAGGCAGAGACGCTGGAACCTCGGCTCAAGAAAGACTGATGAAAGAGGATCTGACATTCTAATCTGCTTGTTTTCTTGAACCCAATTTGTTGCCAAAGGTAAACAAAACCAGACAGGCACTCTAGATACTGAAGCACATCCTGCTGTGGGCTATGTGCAGGTGGCCGGGGGTAGACAGTAGCCACATGCCATGCCATACGGACATGCCAAGGTCTGGAGGTGTCAGCTGCTGAGAGCTTGGGTGAGACCCCTGTTAGGACAGCAGGGGTGGCTCCTCAATACATTCTTTAAAAAAAATTTTTTTTATTGATTTCAGAGCGGAATGGAGAGGGAGAGAGAGAGAGAAACATCAATGACTAGAGGCCCGGTGCACAAAAATTTGTGCACTCGGGGGGGGGGGGGGGTGTCCCAACCTGGGCTGTGCCCTCTCAGT